AAGGAGAAGGATTAGAAGAGAACATAGTAGAATAAGGAATCTTTGACTCTTGAAAGACAACATCCTTAGAGATGTATATTTTACCAGAAGAGGACAAACATTTATAGCCTTTGTGACTAGGTGAGTAACCTAGAAAAACACACTCCTCAGAATGGAAATCAAGTTTATGTTTATGATATGGTCTGGTGAAAGGAAAGCATGCACATCCAAACACTTTGAGAAAGGAGTAATTTGGATTAAAACTATACAATTTGAAATATGGACTTGAATTAGAGATGGATTTTGAAGGAAGTCTGTTGATGAGATGAACAGAAGTAGCAAAAAGGCTGCATCCCAAAATTTAAGAGGTAAAGAAGAGTGAGATAAAAGGGATAGACCTTTTTCAACACTGGTGCGATGTTTCCTTTCCACTACACCATTTTGATGGTGTGTATGTGGACAAATAACTCTGTGAACAATTCCTTTGTCTGTAAGTAATTTAGTGAAGGATCTAAACTCACCACCCCAATCAGATTGGAGAGATTTGATTGATGCAGAAAATTGATTAAGAACGTATTGAGAGAAGTTGGTAAATGCTTTAAGAGCATCTGATTTTCTCTTAAGGAGATAGATCCATGTATATTTGGTACATGCATCTATGAAAGCTATATAATAGGAATACCCATCAAAGGAACAAATAGGAGCCGGTCCCCAAAGATCAGTGAAGATTAACTCAAAAGGTTTATGATATTTTTATTGATATAAGAGACTTTACAATGTTGAAGTACAAGTTTGAGGGCCTCAAAATGAGGGTGGCCAAGCCTTAAGTGCCAAAGATTACAAGACTAAGAAGGACTACAAGATTTATCATTATTACAAGTAGACACTAAGACACTAGATTTTTTATTGTAAGCAGATGACAAGGTGGATAAACTGGAACTTGCAAAAGGTTGATGCTGACCAAGAGCAGGAAAGGACTTGAACCTATAAAGACCATCCTCTCCCAAAGTGCCATGTAAGAGAACTTTATTAGAAACTTGTGATTTCACAAAACAATCATAAGGATAGAATTCAAAATAGACATTGTTGTCTTTAGCAAATTGACTACCACTAATGAGATTTTTAGTAATGGAAGGAACATGAAGGATATTTTTGAGGGAAAGAGAAATAGAGGACTGATAAGGGGATGGAAAGGAAGTAAAACCAACAGACTTTATGTCCAAACTTTGACCATTCCCCATAAAGAGTTTATCAGTGGTGGTGGCAGGCTCACTGTGCTGGAGGTTAAGAGGATCTGCAGTGACATGGTGAGTGGCTCCACAACCTCTGCCTCTGTAAGAGTTATCATTATTACCAGTGTTGTTGAACTGAGCAACTTGAACCGAAGCATTGTCAGTTATGTTTTCATCAGTTGAACGAGCGTTTGGAGCTGAAATATCCAAACGAGCAACATTTGCAGACTAAAGATTCGACTGAGAAGATTCACGAAGCTTTTGTAGTCGCATCTCTTTGGCAGACAAAAGAGACTCAACTTCAGACAAGGTTGGAGGATCGAGAATACTTTGAGAAGATATGGATGAGGCCAGAGACTCATATTCTTCAGGTAAGCCTTCGAGAATCACAGTAATGCGATCCTTAGGAGATATCGGTTCTCCGATTGACAGAAGATTGTCACCAATTGTCTGAATGTGAAGAAGATATTCAGCAATAGAACGCTCACCTTTCGCAGTGTTGTACATTTCGGATTTCAATTGTCTGGCTTTTGCGAGGATACTTGACTGGAAGAAAGTGTTGATCGCACTCCATAACTCGTATGAATGTTTGCAATGAATGATGCGAGCATGGAGTGCTTCAGATAGCGACGCTAGGAGCCACGAGAACAACATTTGATCTTGTTGCTCCCAGGCAATGTAAGCTTCGTTCATCGTTCCTGCTGCTTCATCGGAGATAAATTGCTTTGGAATTTGTGGTTTGACAATGAACCGAAGAAGTTTGTGTGCTAGAACGACGGATTCTACATGGTGTTTCCAGAAGATGAAGTTGTTACTGTCAAGCTTGAGTGGAAGAGGATGTGCGAATGTTACTATAGACGCACAATTTGTGGAAGTTGCAGTAGCAGAGGAAGAGTTCGATTCGGCATATGTGATCGCCATTGATGGATCGAGCTAGAGCTCTGATACCATATTAGAAAGAGAGAGGCAAGTATTGAATGCTAACAGAAAATATTAGATTACATTGAACTGTATTAGAATACAAGTATTTATAGAGTTGGTTGGTCTAACTAACTTAACAAACCAACCGAGACACTACTAAACAATATGATGTATACTTATTCTAATACATGACTTTTAGTCTACTACAAGATGTATATCTAACACTGAGATCGGAGGTTCTGGGAAAAGTTCTGGGAAGAGGTTCTGGGAAAAGGTTTTGGGATAATTTCTGGGAAGAGGTTCTGGGAAAAGGTTCTGGGAAGAGGTTCTGGACTGAAATCAATTTCTTGGAGAAAGAACACAATCTGAAAACTAAACTGAGATATGACAAACTAAACTGTAATCTGAAAAGAAAAACTTAACTAAAATGGAATGATCTCTAATACCATGTTGAAATATAAACTAGAATAATATTAAAGAGTGGAGAACAGATGTTCTGTGTATTTCATTGAAGAGTTAAGTCCCTATATATACATTACAAAGATAGAATATTCTTTTAAGATTCTATACAATAATATCCTAGAGTATATTCCTAAAATATTCTAAAGCATATTCTAAAGATGGAAGAATATTCCAAAGTATATTCTAAAGATATTCTAATGTCTTTCACCAAGGAGTAAATGTGTTATGGGCTTATGGCACTTGGCAGCTTTACTGTATTCCGTATAATGTTATATAATGTGTAAAATAATTAAATCATGTTTATTGTTTAGTTCTATAATATAGTTTTTTTTTAATTTTTCTAGTGTACCATGTTTGTACAAATAACGTATTTATTTATATGTGTGCATATATATATCTATACACATAATATATGTATATATATCTTTACACATAAAAAATAAACACACATATATAATATTTATAAAATAACCCCTATATTTTTTATATTTGCGTGCTTCCCCCACGTTTCGTTTCCTGTAATTTTGGAAAATGGCGTTTCCTACATTTCCCGTTTCCCGTTTCCCGTTTCCATGCTACTTTGTTATTAGTTAAAATAACATTTTTTGTTCCATCATTGTTAAGTGTTAACCCTTTCAGAAAATTGGACAAAAAATAGGACATCCCAAAAAGGAAAGAATGTCATTATTTGGGACGATGTGATTGTATTAGTGAGGCAAACCTCTTTCTTGGGATCTTTATAGCTAGATCCAATGGTAGAATTATAGTGCACCTGATAGCGGATCGTTTTAGTAGATTTGTCCAGCCTAGCCTAGTGTAAGATAGGTATGTCGAGTATACAGATTGATTATCTATTGAGCTTGAGTTTGGTAATTGGTATATAAGTGTGAGGTCAATCGTAAATCTCATCTCTTGAGAATCCTTTGAAGTAAAATTGCCCTAATTTAACATGGTATTAGTGGAGCATGGTGCAATGATAGGTTTGTCGGGTGCCTGCTACTCGGTTATTTGGGCAGCCTGTTCGGATCTATTTTGCCCTATTTGTCCATCCTTCTAGGTGTCCAGCTCGGCCTGGGCTGACTGAGGCATGTCGAGTATTCTACATTTCTACATCTGTTGTGCACTAGTGTTTGACTCAAGTATTTATGTCTGAGGTAAATCCGACTTCTTGAAAATATTTTTAGAAATTACCCCAAATTGGAGTAAAACTAGGGTAAAAATTAAAATAGGACTTTTTATGTTTTTATTCCAAAATAGGACCATATAACTCCTATGTTTTTTCATTCCATTCTTACCCCTCCTTTAAATACGAGTAAAAGGTAGTCAAAGGTTATAATTAAATGTTTTAGTTCATAATGAATTCGTAAAAAATAATAAAAATCGTAGAAAAATAATAAAAAATCGTAGAAAAATAATAAAAAATTAATAAAAATTTATATTTTTTTATTTTTTTTTAAAATTAATAAAAAATAGTACAAATCCATAAAAAAAATATGGATGCCTTTCCCACCAACTCCGACCAGTGTAAAAAAATAATATTTTCTTTTCTGAAAAAATGGCATATTACTCTTTGAGAATGCCAAAATTTTCATTGAATCTGCCATAAATATGGCATTCCTAATGCATGTGGCATTTTTTCCCCGGTGACCGGAGGTGGTGGTGCTGGGGTGGCAGAGGCGGCGGCGTTTTTTTTAATGTTTTTTATTTTTTATATTAAAAGTTTTTTTTTTAATTTTTTTTATAAATATTTTTTATTAATTTTTATTATTTTTTACGAATTTTTATTATTGTTTGTTTTTATTATGAATTAAAACATTTCAATAGCATCAAGCGTATATTTGTCCAAACACACATAATTAGTCCTACTAGTGAGTTAAAAAACAATGTAGTCCTATTTGTGATTATTGACTACCTTTTACTCCTATTTGGGTGATTAACCCAAATATTTTTGGATGAGTGTGGACTATTTCTGATCTGGTCTGTTTGAAATAAAATAAGTAAGCGAAAAGTAAAAGGTAAAGAGTACACACAAGCAGGGCCACTTTAACATGCCACATGCCTTTTCTTGAGCCAGCAGGCACACTGTGCTCTTTTGTTTGAAATCTTATGAAGCTCAAGTCAGGGTAAGGTTGTACTAGGGTTTGAGTCTAGTATTTATGTCTGAGGTGAATCCGGCTGCTTGAAAATATTTTTGGATGAGTTTGAACTATTTCTGATCTGGCATGTTCAACGTGCATTTTCTTGAGCCAGCAGGCACACTGCTCTTTTGTTTAAAATCTTCTGATGCTGATGTCAGGGTAGGGGTGTGTTGTGTCTGCTGAAGGTTTGTGGTTAGAAAAAAAGCAGAAACGATTCGTATTGTAATAAATACTAGTATTTCTTACTTGCTTTGTTTGGTTGATTGAGGCACCCATCTACCAAACATCTGAGAAGAACCTTCCTACACCTCCTGCATTTGCCATGAGCAATTCTGTGATAGAAAAGTTCAACCCGACTCATGTTCCACAATTTTCACAATCACCTTTGCTTGGTGAAGATTATCCTGAAAGACCTGGTCAACCTGAATGCAGTTACTTCATAAAAACTGGTGACTGTAAATATAAATCTAATTGCAAGTTTCATCATCCAAAGAATCAACTGCCCAGGATGCAAGCACTTTTTAATGACAAGGGCCTGCCTCTAAGACCTGTAAGTTTCTGGCCACTTTCTTGGAAAATTATATTGAAGAATTGTTTTTTAGATTTATGGGATGTTCTCATCATCATCATAAGCATCATCAACGCCTTAATCCCAACTAGTTGGGTCTGTGGCACACGACTTGTAATTTTGTAAAAAAATTAGGTAAGAGAATAATAAAAATATAATGACATTTTATCTCAGGTGTCTTCAATGATTAGATTGAACTCTAAAACTTCCATCATCATATGTTGTTTACCTGTGCTTTAAACTAAATAAGGGTTAATACCACTTTTGACCCATCGAATAAATTAAAATTTTCCTTTCAATATTTTACTGTCAATTTGGACACTTCAAAAAACAATCTTCTTTAGTGGTTGAATTGATACTAAAGCCTAACAGAGGAAATGTCATTATGCTAAAGGGATAAGAAAGGGGAATAGTTTCTGCTTTTCGACATTAGTGAATCCATTAATTTGTTGTTTTATCATTAAGCAGTTATTTTACATGAGTCAATTGCTTCGTATTGAATTTATTCGCCATTTGCTTATCCTATTAAGCATCTGTAGATCGATTTAGCTGTCCTGTGCGGTTTCTTACTCCAGAATGTTATATGTTTTTTTGTTCGTTCTGCAATTATCAAATGGTCTGCTCACGATAGTCTTTTATGCCATTTGCCTGTTTGGATCAGTTCTGTAGATTTGACTACCCGATAATTATAGGCTATAGCCACTCACAAGATTAACAAGGCTTACAAAAAAAGATTTTTGTTACTATGATGTAACATTTGAATACAATTATATCACTAAAGTTACTAGACTCACATTTTTGTCCACTATTTTGTTTTGGGTATATCTTTAGAATTGTTTCTACAAAAAATGAAAAAAAGAGACATAATTACTAACTTATGTTGGATACTCTTCTATTGCAACCTTCTATGGCATGAACAATGAGATGAAATTCCAGAACTGTTATCATCATATGTTTTTTTCTACTTGCATATTATAGTCATGTCCCAAATATTGTGAAGTGACCTATATATCCTACATCTATATTTAATTTCTACTCACATATAAAATGTTATTGAAGTGATTATATGTTGCACTCTAGACTGAAGTGTGTACATTTTAAAAAGCCGAGAGACCTAAATTGGTTAGAATTGTTACAGAAAGGCCACAAGGAAAATGACATCAAAGTAGGAGGCCAAAATTACAAATAACTCTTTAAGTGAATGAGTGATTATTTTACACCAGAGTGATTATATAGGAAAATATATAAAACACATCACCAGATGTATTTCACTGCTCTTTTGTATGTATTACACAACACAGTTAAGGCATTTCATCAATAGATATTTCTTGTGTTATGCAATGTAGGAACAAGCAACCTGCTCATTTTATAGTCGTTATGGAATTTGCAAGTTTGGACCGACTTGTAGATTCGACCATACCGATCATTACAGCCACCCGCCTTCTGCATGGTCAGATTTTGAGCAGCCTCAATTTGGTAGGTCTGAGGCTATGGATGGGAATAGGGTGGGAGTGAGGAAAGGAAATGGAAGCGGATCTTTAGTAAAACAGTCTGTGTAAGTTTCAGTAGTTTCTGCCCACATGCTGTGCGTGTGATGATCTACTATGACTTGCAGCGAGTGTTTTTACTTGAACAACCAAGTGCTGGGTTATGATCGTGAAATTTCAGCACGCTCCATATTCAAGATGCCTAAGCCAGGAATATGATTTTGTAAATTACACATCACTGTTTTGTTGCGGTGGTAGATATTTCACGTCATTGTTGCTACTCACAATGGCTTTTTATTTATTTATATATTTATATATGTGCTTACAAATATTTTCAAGTATTCTTGAATTTTGGTATTGCTGAATAGCATTCCATCATTCATGTGTCCCAGTCCTCTCCTGAACCATATGAATCACTCGTAAGGCTGTCTTTAATACATCCTTCCTAAACTAACGACACTGGTGGGAGGTCTCCTGATTTAGTCTTATCTTTTGTAATAAAATATGAGGCAACACCGCAAATTATATGGTGCAACCGGCGCACCATGAGGATGGTGCGCCCGGTTGCAAAAACGACGCAGAGTAGGCAAAAACGACGCAGCATTTGTTTGTTTTTTTTTTGCTTTTGATGTTAAAAATGATAATAACTTTTTTATTTTTGATCCGATTTTTATAAAATTTATATCAACATTTTTTATTTTTCATGATCTTTC